ACTCTCTTTAGGCAAGGAAAAGGTGATGGGGTAGAGCTTTCTTTACAAGAGTGCAGTACTTGTAAAGATACAACAAGGAGGTTGGGCTGTTGTATTCTGGGGGCGGCGTGACCATAAAAATCTGCTGCACCAGTGGCACGAAACGTCCTAAAGAGAGTGATTGATCCACGCCTCAGCTCAAGCTCCTCATAATTTCGGTGATATCTTTCTACTTTTCATCTTCATCTTTAATTAATAGTTTTTTGCTATTCTTTTGTCTATTTTCTTTCCTATTTATTTTTACGAGGAACAACAATTTTAGGACGTTTCGATATGCAAAACAAAAATGGAAACATTTACCACCTTGTGTAAGCAGAATACTTTCTTGATTATGTGTGTGTCAAGCAGGTATGGGTTTCTGACGCTCTTGCAATATTTGATGCTTTATCTATTTAGTGAATCATTATCCAATATTCTAATTGTATACTAGAAATGTTGGAAACTTGGAATGAATACTTATGGCTTCATGAATTTTCTTCAATTAAATACACGGAGGTATTATCATTGTATAGCTTGCCTAGCTTGCCTAGATTGTAACTATTAGCATGAGTAATTCTTGTTTTGTATTTTAGTAGTATCATCATGGAATAATCGTTCTGTCAAATATTAATTTGGCACATTAAATTTGTGATTCCACTCAATTAGTAGTTTGATGATGACATACCAACCATTTGACATCCATTCAATATTTCTATAATTATTATATAAGTTACTTGGGTGTTTTGACATGGTTGTTCTGATGAATGACTTTATTTCTAACGGTTAAAAAAAAATCAAAAAAAAAAGAGAGGAAACTTTCTGTTCATGCAAGCATGTGGCATTACTATGTAGACATGATAGTCCTAATGACATTATGATTTACTATTAAACGTTAGGAATGAATGTGGATTTCTTGGGCAAATGTACGTGTGATATTTGATAGCTTAATGTTATTAGCAGTTGGTATTAAATACACTTTGAGAACCCAAGTGAATAGCTGCTTGAGTTGGTCCATGTAATTATTTTGGTAAAAAATGGACTTAATATTTGGGTTGATATATTTTGGAAATGTAAGCTAATTTTTTCTTTAAGCTTGTGTGACCAAGGACCCTTTTGTGGTGATGAAAAGTGAGATGAGCAAATATGCTCTTATAAAAATCTTGTGAGCAAAATGAGTTTCTTCATGAACTCAATTATTTGAGAAATGTGAAAAATCACATATTTGAGATGCTCTTAATGTGGGGGATTTTGATATCCCTATATATTATTATTGGTGATGAGACCAATGATGCCTAATTGAGATTTTGCATAGCATTCCTATTATACAATAAGGTGTAATGGTGCTTAAGAAAGTAAATGTGATATGCATTCCTATTATACAATAAGGTGTAATGGTGCTTAAAAAAGTAAATGTGATATGCACTCCTATTATACAATAAGGTATAATGGTGCTTAACAAAAAAAAAAATGTGATATGCATTCTTATTATACAATTATGGTATAATGGTGTATGATGAGAAAAAAAAAAATAAGGCACTTGAGAAAAGGGATATGTGATGGACATTCCTATTGTACAACAAGGTACAATGGTGTTTGAGTTAAAAATTCTTAAATATATGTTTTGACATGTATGGAAAGAAAAAGGTGGTTCACTAGCTCGATATCAAAAATTGTGGTACCATGAATTGAGAAATTGAGAAATATGAATGTGAATTTTATGAGCTAGCAGGCAAGTGGGTTGATGTGAAAAAGTGAGAATAAGAATGAGTTAAATCTCTACGTTACCCAGTATACCACCAACTAGGCCTTTGGCAAAAACAATAGTTGGAGGAAAATCTATAATCATAGTCCAAGGTCTAGTGCTCATTGAGGGGAATGGGATTCAAGCCCAATAATGTAGAACTTCTTATGAGGATACCCAACCCGAATTCTAAGAATTGGGTTTTGAATGGGAAAAACGAATCATAGAGAAGTCGTTGTTGAAAGATGTATCAATATTTAACAAAAAAAAAATTTCGATCCAATTCCTAAGGTGAGGATGCATCGATCCCATAACGAATTGAGGGCTGAGTTTTATACTCTTAATGAAATTTGTAGCTCATAGAGTGGGGTGTCTTAGTTATGGGAGCATTCTTGACAAATTTCACCTATATGGATGTCGGAGTGGGGCCGCTCCTATGAGAATAGGGCTATTCTCTAGATCATCCATGAATACCAGGATTAGGCACAAAGGCCGTAATGTGCCAGCTTACCAAGCTCAAAGTAACACCTGGATTATAATGTGTGTAATATGGTCTCTTATATCCCCTACGTAGTCCTAGTTCAAGACTTTGCTCACTAGTGACTTTGGGATAGGAATCATTGACTCACTAAGTAGAGGTTCAAGGCATTGCTACCTCTATTATGCATGATAATCCATCCTTGCCTATATATTTTTCATCTTCTAAGTTTCTTTTATTTTTAATTAAAATGGAGGGGGAATGTTGGAGATTTTAATTA